CCCCAAAACCCCAAAACCCCAAAACCCCAAAACCCCATTTTATCAGTTAAAACTTTTATATTTCTAACTTGTTAAAATTTATTTAAAAATGTCAGTAGTCCAGAGAAATAAGTCTATTAAAAAATATAATGTGCAGAAGGTTACCAAGAATGCTACCCCTAGGTCATGAAGTGTCCCAGGGTCAGGAATCAGCACTCCTAAAATCTCCCAGCTTACACAAAAGGATAGGGAGAATATCTGTGAAATCGTGCTTCAAAATGGAATTGATCCCAGATCTCTGGCGTTTGAAATTGTTACTAAAAGGGTGTGTGACCTATTTTTAAGCAAGAAGAAGTCCAAAGGTATGGCTGGCATTTAGTCTTAACTTATTCATCGTATTTTACAACCATTTTCTCACCAATATTGATATAGGATCTCCTCGGAACAACAAGTTGTTCATCGAGAATGCAGTAAAAGATACCCTTGATAAGGATATCACTTTGAAAACGACGTTAAATAAGATATTTAAATCCTCAACTTCCCCATGTGAGGTTGATATTCAGAATTTAACAGCTGAAATTCTTCAGCAGCAACTGCAAAAGACTCAAAGTACTGACCGAACACAGAGTCAGAACAGGTATAGTGGAAGACATTCAGTAATTGAACCCAAATTTGGCAATTTAACGGAAAACAAAACATCATGTAGGAAAACACAACCTGGCGATCATGAAAGTAGCGAAGAGAAACCTCTTGAGAAGGCAAGTCTGATGCAAGAGTCTGAACGAGTCTCAGAGGTTTCGATTGTTTTTAAGGAGAAGAAACTCGAGAAAAGTGATTCTGCTCAGGAAATTCCTCTAGATCCACCTCCAAAGCCAATGTCTCCGACTAAAATATACTATGAAATTGACCACACATCTGATATTGATAAGAAGGGGAGCTTTAGTGTGACCCCAACTCAGGATCCAGATCAGGATGCAAAGCCTGCAGAAGTGTCTAAGAAGGCGGAACCTCCAACTCCTGAGAAGAATAGTGGAAGGAGATCAACAGGGAAGTTCAATGATGATATTTCATGCTTTGAGATCTCTCCTCCCCCAAAAGAAGAAGCAATTGAACAAGAGAAAGTACAGAACGACACTGTACCCCAAAATTTAGCAGAGGTTGATATCTTGCAAAAGGAATATGAGCTTGGAAGAGAACTACTGCATAAGGCAGGGGATAAGATTACATCAGATAATTATCGGGAATTAGCAAGAATACAATCTCTTAATGAATACGATTACAAAATTCTGCAAATAATGTTCTCCTTGCTTTTCTCTATTAGAAATAAAAGTGATTGCATTATAAATTCTCTTGATAGGATCGACCATATGCTTAATGATTGTGGAGAAGTTCTATTACTCCAGTCAGACTTCGACCTGATGATCGAGAAAAATCACTTCAGTAGTAAAAGTACGGTCCAGTTCAGAGATGAGTTTGTCAAGGTCTCGCCTTACAATTCTGCTAACCCTACCATCAGTTGTATTAAGGAATACCTGTGAGAAGCATTTTGCTTAATAGACATCATTGAAGAAATCAAAGGATTTGAAGCCAAAATCGCAGAAAATGTACCAAAAATTTCAAAGGATTCCCCAAAAGTTGCCAATTTTGGCCAAAGAGAACATCGAAAAAGCAATGAATATATTGAAAGTATGAAGGATCCCCAGAACACATCAAGAACATCCGATAAAAATACAATAACAGCAAGGTACTACAAAAAGATGGAGGAACAGAATCAAGATTTTTCCTATGACATGCCAAGGAAGAGGAACGTCAGCAGGACTCCTAAAATTAATAAAGTCAATAGAACGCAATCGAGAATATTGAAGACTTCTACACCTAAGCTGGTGAGAGATTCGAAGGGAGTGAAAAGAAATGGGATCAAGAAGAAGACCCCTAATAAATCTTCATTTATTTCAAAAAGTCCTAAACCATCTATACTTGGAAAGAGCCCTAAAGTGGAGAAAGGCTCCAAAAGTCTGAAGCCAGCAGATATGGCTAAGGAATATGCATTAAAGCATGAAAGGAAAGTTGTTAAAAAGACTACGAGAGGTGCCCAGTATGATGCAAATGGGCATAGAATTTACAAGTCTAAAAATCAAGTACCTAATAAGCCAATCAGCTCTTATAAAAAGCCTACCACTCCAATGAAGGTGTCCAATAGAACAATTGAAAGGAGGTTGGAGTCTCATCTCCCATCAAACTTCAAGAATTCCCAGCAAACCAAGAGAAAAGCAGTTCGAAAGTCTTTTAAAAAGAAGAAATCATCGATCCAGGAGTCTGTCCTAAGCGACCAGAATAGGACTTCGATCCAGTCATACAATCAGAGCCCAAGGAGGAAACCCGTCTCTCCTCTGAGATCTCCCAAAAGGAAAAGTCCTAGAAGGGAAACTGGCAGAATGAGTCCTACAAAGAGGATGATCGACATGAAGAATTCGTATATTAAGAACCAGAGGAAAGCCCAAAAAGACCCACAGAACGCTGGAAAGCTGATTTATACAATCAGCCCAGATGAGGGATACATCGTTGATCAGGACTTTAAAGAACTGACTAAGGAAGGTAAGCTGAATTACACAAGCATGATTCCTACTGTATTCTCTCTGCATTAGATAAATCACCGATTTCATATAAATCTGTATTAAAGCTAAAATAGCTTGAATCTAATGCAATATAGAACTAGAAGAAGTTAGCAAGAGCATTACAAGGAAATCAGCAGAGTTCTGAGGGGGAGCTGACCAGGAGAGATCTAACCAATACGGTGATTTGATGGTCAAAAATCATCTTAAGAAGAGAGTACAATAAATTTAATTTTCAAAACACCTAATATTCAATAGTAAATATTACAAAGGGGTTTTGGGGTTTTGGGGTTTTGGGGTTTTGGGG